TTTTTTTCATGCATTTGTATAACTCTTAAAATGAGAAAAAAAATTGGCTATGATTTTGTGATAAATAAAAAGAATTGATTTTTCTACTATCATGATCCATGCTTAGTTGAAATGAAATTGTTTTGTTTATTTATTTACTTCTAGACTAACATTAGATCTTCTTTTAGGTTAGAAATAAAGTTCTATGTGTGTAGTATCATATATCCAAAGATCTTCGTATACCTTCGTGTTATAAGCAATTGGCAAGGGATACCATGAGAGGATCATGTTATCATCTTATCTCTGCTCCATCTGATATTTTAGTACTGAAACTTTTAGGAAATACTTCGTCACTCTTCAGGCATCTTTGCTGTAATTTTCAAGCAAATTGGTTGAATCTAACCTGAGTTACATGTATTTTACTGGAAACTAGACTTGACACACGGTCGAAGATTTTCAGTGGAAAAGTAATATCTCAACCGTTTCAAAAGATTTCTATACAAATTTTATACCATAGATAGCTCTTGAGATGGGCTTTCAAATGAGATATTGCGCAATAACAAAACGCTCAAAATGACTAAGATATAGGAATTACACGATGAACATGATGTTCGATGCATAGCTCCGTTAGACGGCAACCAACCAAGTCCGGGCTGGTGCTTACGATCAGGTTTAATCATGACTCACACGCCTCTAAAATATCAGCTCAATATCATTCACTTTTATGCTAGTTCAAGGGGGGTACCTACTTTTGTCCAGTACTGTATATTCACTGTGAAGAACCATTACAACGAAGCCATGCCATTTTTACAACCACTTGAAGATTTTTTTTTGGTAATTTATTGAGATAGATTATTTAGGTTTTGAAGTTAATTATCGATGAACTATCTGAGAAATAAAACTAAGAAAGAAAGAAATCCTAATTGATAAATTTTCTTTAAAAATATATTTATTAATGTAACGTTATTTAAATTGAATGAAAAAATTCTATAGAAATAATGGTAAACTTCATCCATGTTTAATGAAATATTTTCAAGTTAGATTAGATTTTTAAAAAAAGAATCAAACATTTATTTAATCAATCTATTATTTTTTTTTCTTGATTATAGTTCAAATTGAACCTATAGTCGATCAACGATTACGAACATTAATTGATCAAGAATTAAAAAGATTTCCTATTAAACAAGAACGATTCAATAAACCATATTGAAGAACTTAACGAAAATTTTATTAAAAATCATTCCAATTCATAATCACATCGTCATTAAGGTAAATATCTATGATTTATTTAGTTTACTTACAATTTAATTCATATTTAGCTGCCAAACTCATGCTTATTAATAATCGAAACGAATAGTCTCAAACCTATTCTATTCCTTTCAGGATTAAATTCAAATATTATCGATCAAAATTTAAAAGCTTTTTTTTGTTTCTTTATATGTTCGTCTTGGTCTATCCTATGTCAAGTATGATGTCCAACTATCTATGAATATATGCAATAAGATCATAATGGTTGAATTCAATCTTCAATAGTTGAAATATATCGTCTTGAATGTAATCGTCTGTGTCCACCGGCAAATTTATTTAAAACAAGTCGATCGTTCAACGTTTTAATCAATCTCAATCATCAGCACTACCATCATATTCATGGATTCAACGTTCTCCATCACCTTCATATTCATCTTAACATAATCAAAGAAATGGTGATGAACTTCTATCACATAATCACAATTAATTAACGGTCCATTTTCTTTATCTCCTTTATCGAAATATGTCTGTGGTCTCTAGCAAAACAAATAAACTCTTATTTGTTCGTCTATCGCCTCAATATATCTTCTTTCGTTTTTTTTCTCGTAACCAAAAAACAATATGAAAAAACGCCTTAAGCATCGTTTTTTGTTTTTTTTAAGGACATATTTGGGTGTTGGAAGATTTTACATTGTATTTTTTTTGTTAAAATAAACCATAAGTAAAAGAATGAGCGTTCATGGAAATTTTTTTCATCGTTTTTTTTATTTTTTTATAGATTAATGTCCGATATATTAATAAAAGAATTCTTCTACTTGGAAGTCGTTCGAGGGGAAAAACTCTTTTAATAAAACGTTTCGAAGAAATATGTTTATTATAAAAAATAAATCATGATGAATTTATTTATAGAAGAAGAACAACTATTCGACAAATATGAACTAAAATAAAATCTAAACATAATCAATTATTTGACTTATATGAACTTGGTGCGACATTAGCTTTTTTATAGAAAACATTTTATATGAGTACTCTTTTTTTGTAAAATAATTTATCTTATTTATTCAACACAACCATCGACTATTTCATTTCTATTTTAACAATTAAAACGAATATCAATTAAACTGAAAAATATTCTTTTAATTTTTAATCAATCAAAATATGAAATTAATTCATTAAGTAAAATAGCTTTGATCGATTTATTTCATTTGGATTCGTTTTCGAACGGGTCAACTTTATAGAATGAAAACAAATCATTCAACCAGAATCGATTTATCATCATTACTTTATTGGTTAACAATGGAAAAATAGTTTCTTTTTTTTGCTTTTATTAATAATATAATCCATGTTGAATGTTGTTTCTACATAGAACTATCCACAATTTTTTCTTCAGCTGATTGCAACATTATGACAACATTAATGACAATGATTGATAAATATTTTCATCTCTTCATTCTATATTATCTCCAATATCAAAATCAACTGGTTCTGCAACATTTACATTAAACGATTCATTATCTATATGTTTTCTTAATGGACTTGGTAACACTTCGACAACAACAATATTCAACAAATCGTCTTCAACTTTATATTAGACATTTCACCGCTCGACCATATAATTATAATACAAATTCAACATCAACAAAACGATTAACTTATTGAACATTACCTCGAAACATTAGTTCATTCTACTGATTTAGCTGAATATTATCCACCTTCACAAATTTTAATAGACTCTTTTTAACAATAAAATATGCGTTTTGCACCTCTACCAATTGTTCAACAGCCAATCAAACGTCTTTTATCATTATCAAGAACAAAACGACGAAGTTATATGAACAACTTATTTTGTTTTTGTTTTTTAAATAGCATTAAATTATATGTTGGCTATGCATACAAGTCAAGAATTTAATATAAATATACTTTATCAAGCTATATCTATTGATAAACCAATAGATAGACAAATATTTCTATTTTATAGACAAGAACTTGAAAAAACGATCATGTTCGGTAGACGAATATTAATAAAAACATTTATTGTTGTGTTATTTGAAGATATGCTCTTATTTTCATAATTAAATATTTCATTTTCTAGTCTTTTTCTCTTCTAGATGGAACAAAAGCCGATAATAAGACCATGATCAAATAAGAATAGTGCTAATGGCAAGTTAAATAAAATTGAGTTGTCAATCAATATAATTTCTTTTAATAGGAAATATTTGACTTGAGAATAAATCATTTTCTATTGATATACGAACAGTTTCTATTCGAGAACAATCGCTTATTTCAACAAGATCTAGACAATGTTATTGATGTTAACATCCAAAGAAGAAAACGAAACCAGTAGGGAAAAAAATTCAAACAAGTATAATTAAGAATAAATGAAGCAAACAACGTTTCTATTCGATTTTTCTTTTCGATGAGCACTAATCATTTGAAAATAGAGCTAACGTCAAATATTGACATTGTTTATTTAAATTAAATATTTTAATATTAAATTTACTCGAGAATAAAAACATGTCAGAGAATGACACTGATCAAACATCATTTTATCCAATATATGTTTATTATTAAACAAATCTAAAATTTAATCGATAGTTATCAATTTGATAAATCTCTTAACTATCTTACATTATTAACTGAATAACAAATCTATTAATCTACTTGCCATTTATATACCTATCGATTTCATTTATACAACGAAATCATCAGATAAATTATCTAATGACTATGAACTATTTTCTCAGGATACTTCAACACATGTTGCCAAACATAGTAATCAACGTAAAATGTTTATTATTATGCTTGAACAATCTGATTAATTTATATGAGAGGAAGTATATTGATTGCATATTAAATTATTTTCTATAATTATTAAACGTTTACCATTAAAGTCTAGTTTAATAACATCGATTGATGATATTCTTTCATTATTAGAATCTCATTTAACTACGTTTCAATTAACAACAATTAACAATGATTTTCTAGATTTCGTGGATTATTGATTATAAAAAGAAAATGAATATTTTCTTTCTAGGTAATGATTTACTCATATTTAATCATCATTCCAAGAAAGTTCATCATTTATATAAATTCGTCCATTATTAGATTGTCTATTTACACTTAATCAAAATTCAATTCAATTAATCGATAGTAAAGAACAACAATCTGTTTTTATTTGTTTACTTTTAACAAAAAAAATAATTATTTTTCATAATTACCATGTGTTTGTTGACCATTATTTAATATTCTTCTAGGTATGCCATCTCTCCAACAATTAAGTAATAATCGCCAACGAGTTATGTTAATAGAATAAGCCTATGCACTTATTTCAAACATTTATCCATGTTTAACACCAAATAAAGAATTTTATCAAACAATATTATATTATAATCAAATTCATGTGTTGATCGATCTATTAAGAATATAAATGGTTGAATAATCTGCTCGACAATATAGACCATTCACAAATGGTGCATATCATTTATTATTTCGACCATTTAATTCTCTTGGTCGTTATACTTTTCTTCGACAACAATTAGCTAAAATAATTTATGCTCAAGATTTTTATCGAATATTTCTTTGTAAATTAGTTAAAGATGAATTTATATTTGGTTATCGATGATCATCATCAAGTGAAATTTATAATGAAATATCATTATTTCAATTATTTGATTCTTTATGTCCTTTACCAAATGATGTTCAATCAGATTTAATTTCAATCTAGGATTATCTTTGTTCAAAACTTTATTTTATTCGTTTTATTGGTTTAATTGATAAACAATATATTAATCGAACATTGTTGTGGACAGAACGTTTAAATCATTTAAATGAAATATTTTTGAAACCATATAAGAAAATCAATTGAAATAGCTTGGACACATTATAAACTTGAAATAAAAAATCAGAAACGATCGAAAGAAAGAAGATAATAAAATATAACAAATAGATACAGAAATATTGCTCGATAATAAACCCTTACCACTACCAAAATAAACAAGAACGATCAGAAACATTACATTCGACAGTAATAAAATTTCATGTTCTTTATTGCATACTTCCTCATTTAAGTAAAGCATTCGACGATGATTTGTAATTTACTTAAGATAATGTTTTGTTTTCAAGTTTGCTTTCTTTTTTATTCATGCAATACATACTAATCGGTGAAAATGTTCAGCTATTAAACGTTCGATGAATTTTGTGGGTACAGCCAGACCCACAAGGTTGTTTTTTCGCTTACTGCTACCCTAATATCTATCCTTTTCTGAGCGATCTTTTTTCTAATTGCTGGTCTATTAATGATACATAGAAGCCATATAAAGTTATGCGTACAGATCTCAAAGGAAAAAAATTCGAGAGTGGGTCTGTATGGACCCCACAACAACTTTCGTATTATACAGATGATTTTTACTCTTGACGAACCTTCCCTTTGTTGTTTCTAGGGTTTATTTTCCAAACGATTCGTTAATTAGTCAGTCACTGCCAATAGTGATTCGAATATTGTTCTTATACGTCTCTCAAAGATTTTGTTATATTTTGATCGAAATATTCTTGCCATTGCTTCTAGTTATAATGACCGTTCTCGAGTTTTCTTCCTTGAAAACATATTAAATCTGAAAAATATACAGGCAAGAAATTCTTGTCGTTTTTACTATGAGTGACTGTATATATATATACTGATATATGTGAGAGCATTTACTAGCTTGTGGTATAATCAGACTTGTAGTTTCTTAAAATAATATTTTAAATTCATAATGCTATTATAATCCCTTCTTAACAGTGTCTCGTAAACTACAAATATTTTCACGTCAAGATCTGTGCCAGTGTACCCGTATCTGAAAGGTCATTATAGATATCTTCGATTCAGGGGCGGCACGAAGAGGTCAAAGCAGGACGAGAAGTATTTCCAAACAATGGGAGAAAAGTATGATCCAATGTAATAGGATTCCTAGGCGATTAAAATTGGATAAACCTATTGCGCATTTTTTCTTCGAGTTAGACATGCAGAAAATATTACCGCATTTCGATCCCTTTTACATAAAAGTCAAACGTTTGAGACAAGTTCATAAATCTCTAGAGAATATAAGTGTAGGCGTCGAAAAAATTGTTGAAGTAGCACCTTTTTCTAGCAGAAATGTTTACGCGTTCAGATAGAAAAGTGTCTCAATCTTTTTCGCCATGCTCGCGATAACTGTTAGGCAACATGATGATGACTATTGGATTTCATTAGAAACTCTCGAGCTGATACTAAGTTTCGAAAAATAGGCAAACTCATGTTGCCGCCGAAGGCGACAGGAATTTGAATTATATTTCGAATGTTGTACTCGTCATATAAGTCATCGAATCAATTCTTCTTTTTTTCACCAGATTTTCAAAATCTTTTTCAGTTCATTTATTCTAGACAAGATCGAAAAAGCTCGCACAGTTACTTGAGAAAATATTGAATAAATGGTTTAGAACTATGTTGCCAGAAAACATTCGACATATTTTAAAAACATCTCGATTTGTCACAGAGAGTAATCAACATTTTTTGATAAGTTCACTTGTATTGCATAGATGAAATAGTCACATTAACCTTTTGAGGACGGATGGGTTATTTTTGACCCATCTATTCTTCAGTAGAGAAAAAAATGTTTAGTTCACATTAAACTATTAAATATGTCAGGTCATTAAGGTCATAAACAACTGCATTTGTCATCTCATAGTTTTCTTTCTTTCCTTCTGTCATATAAATTCTTTTCAAATATCCTTTGTTCTTACTGCAAAGATGCAGTGACGCCATAATTTCTTTCTTTTCCTCTGATCTTTTGTTTTTCGAGAATATTCTCATTCTCTGTTGGGTATATATATACTCCCGTTCTCATTGAAGAATTTACGTTGTTCTTGAATTTGCAAAGCATATCATTTCTCTTTCGAAGTTGTATTCTTTATTTCCTTATACCGTTTTTACAATTAAAACTAAACAAATTGAATTCTATAGAAAAAAAAAAGAATTCGAGTCTTGAGCTTCACATCCGAATGCAATAGAAACAAGCATGACTTTGATTTTTATGCAATCCTCTTTGAGCCAAATGAAATAAAATGATCGAAGAACTACTTTCTGATTCAAAAAAAATTCCGTCCTCAAAGGGTTAAATAAGATCTTCACTAAATCAAACAAACCGATAGACTAAACCTTTCGAAACAAAAAACAAAAAGAAATATTCTGCAAACTCTCATAACTTAGAGAAAAACGGAGCTCTGCAGTTTACCCAACGATAAGAGAAAGGTCTAGCCGAAATCTCTACAAATCCTGGACGATATAGGCGAACTTTTCTCAAAATCGGAGGATACTTATCAGAAACTGTCATCAATAATTGAAGAAAACTAATTCGTAATTAGCTCCGAAATCATAGAAATCTCACTAGAAATTCTCTCACAAATCGGAGAAACTTCTGCAGAAACTCTCTTCACAATCGGAGAAACCTAATTCGAAATTTCTCCAAAATGGAAGAAACCTATCGGAAAATTTCTAAAAGCAGGAGGGGTACCCTTTCCCAACCCCTCCCCCGCTCCTGCCCTAATCCGCCACTGAGTGACATCACTCGTTCATTTTGTCAATCGTACATCGATTTATTTCGTTGTTCTGTTTGGTTGAATTGAGCTAGGATTCGATTGTTGAGTCAAATTAAATGATCTCGTCGAGCAAGCCAGCCAGACGACTTAAGTCTGTTTTAAATAATAAAGCAATCAGATTGATTAATTCGGCATTAATTGTCGTAGCGGGTAGAAGCTCTGTATAAAATCAATATAATGACAATCTTTATATTTATAAAATAAAGATAAACAAAATGTTTATCTTTATCTTATAAAGAGAAAATAAAGAATAAAGATTTTATTCTGTGATAGGTAAATAGATCAATAACTAGCATAACAAGAGGAGATGTTGATCAATACCTTTTATTATCATCAACATCACTTCAATATGTCATATTATTAACAAATGAAGGTGATACGTGAAAAAATATATTCAAACAAGGTTTTCTGTATATCGTTATTTGTATCTATATGATAATATTTGTGAGCTATTTGGTAAAAAATTAAATGTTAGGTTCTCATAGAAAAAAATTTCTTTATTATTTATTTTATCATTTATTTTTGAAAATAAATAAATCATTCCACTTTATATTTATAAAACAAATATAAAGATTCAATTTATCTTTATTTTTTAAATGATAAACATTTATTTATTCATTTTTATCTTTGAAAAATAAACAATTTACTTATCTTTGTTTTATAAAAATGAAGATTTTATTTATATTTATTCTTTATTATAAATAAAAATAAATTAAAACTCATAAAAACGACAGATGAATCGTTTCCTGACAAGGACATCATCAATAAATTCTTAACAATAAACAACGGCTTCTTAGATAATCGTAAAATATTGTTCATCGAATAAATTCTATGAAGGTTATTTTTTCTTTATTTATTTATTCAACTTATACTTTTAACAAAAAGATATTTTTAAAACTACTAAATAAAAAAGAGTCCGTTATGCTAAACTTCTGATGATGAAACTGATTTCTAAGTAGAATCAGATTATTTTTTACAAGTCAAATCTAATATAAATAATATCTGATCTATTACAAGACATCAAGCAAATTTTATTCGAACGTTGTTCATTGAAAAAGAACCATCAGACTACTTTTTTCAATCAGAGCCTTCTAGCTCATTCATCTGCATATTCCTTTCCTTCTCTTTTAACAGGCTTAAAAAAATTTCATTTTTTTATTATTTATTTTAACAAAAAAAAATACGAAGGAGAGCCGAAGAACAAGCACATCAATGACTGTCCATCTTCAATACCAACCCGCCCTGAGGCGAGACCACCATCACTAAGCTTCATCCACCTATCCAGCTATCCGACTCGGCCTCCCACAATTGGTCCTCCAAATCGTCCACCTGACCCTCCCATTCGTTCGCTCGAGCCTCCCATTCGTTCGCTCGAGCCTCCGATGCGTCTGCCCGAGCCTTCGATTCGTCCGCTCGAGCTTCTAATGCGTCTGCCCGAGCCTTCGATTCGTCCGCCCGAGCCTTCGATTCGTCCGCCCGAGCCTTCGATTCGTCCGCTCGAGCCTTCGATTCGGCCGCTCGAGCCTTCGATTCGTCCGCTCGAGCCTCCGATGCATCTGCCCAAGCCTCCAATTCGTCTGCTCGAGCCTCCGCCAACAGAGCCCGAGCTTCCCATTCGTCGACCTGGGTCTTCAACAGCTTGATCCAAGCCTCCCAGTCTCCATCTAGAGGCTGTTGTTGGGTGATTGGTGATGTTGATGGAATCTGAAATACACGACATTAAACAATTAATATAAAACAAAAAGAACGAAAAACAATAAATAATCGGATGCAAAAAAAAGGACTGAAAGAGTGGTCACTAAGATGATTGATTGCGAGAAAATATCGAAAGAATTGGGAAGTAAACTTGAGTCTAGTCTCAACAAAGTGTACTACTCTTCTAATATTGTCACTCTATTCGTACCGTGTTTGTATCAGTCGTTTTACTCATTGTTGTTGTTTGTTCAATGTTTGACTTGATGAGAAAAGTAATAGAAGTACGAGTGAAGAAAATTGTTTATGATGAATAAATAATGTCAATGAGAGAAACAATAGAAAGCATAACTATCAATGAGCAGCTTTTTTTTTTCTCTCTTTCTTTTTCTCTGCTCTGAATGATTGGTCCGAAGAGTAAAGTGAATAAAAAAAGGTCAATTATCGAACATAGTCTTGTGAAAAAAAACGAACGAAGCGAATATATCTGCATATGGCCTCGAACACAGACTAGACCGAAATGAAAGTGAATTAAGAAATATGTTTATTGTTGGCATGTAGCAACACGAATCACATTTCGTAATTTAGTTTAATTTGATCTAGTCTGCTTGATGGATGGTCAAGGTCAACGGAAACGAAGAAAAGTTATGTGGTGTAAAATAACAAGCAGCTATTTGTGAGTGAATAAAGAAACAATGGAAAATAAAAAGACGGAAAAAAATCTGATTGTTAATCGATAGATTAGATTTAAATCAATTTATGAAGAATCTGTTTCAATAAATAAAAATCAAATAAAATCTGTGTTTAAATGTTGAAAAACATGTTTCAATCGAATCAATCAAGACATAATCGATTGTAATCTAATTTATTGGGATATTGTGTTCTATGAATAGAATCCAAGTGATATCGTATGTTGAGCATGTGCAATATATATAATAGTCTATGGTCTTGTATTATACTTAACATTTGTTGAGTAAACGAGTTCGAAAAAACAATAAAAAAATTTGAGTTCCTATGTTAAAAATCGAGAAAAATCCAAGGGGGAAACAACTGACTTTTTATGACTTAAAGTCATTCAGGACATTTTAGATCATTTAGATCATTTAAGTCATAAAGTCAGTTGTTTCCCCCCTTAGCAAACGGCATATTATAAAACTGATTCAGGAGAAACCAAGCACTAAACAATCTACCTCTGAGAAATTACACGATATTGAATTTATTGAATGCAGTCAACGTTTTAATTATAATTAGATACGATCTGGTATACAAGACGAAAAAGACTCATGGATGGATACATCCATGTACTTCGATTTAATGGTCTTTCATGTTTGAAAAGCAAATTGACGATTTTTATCATATCATTATATAAAATAATATTTTAAATAATCGTTGAATTAATATAGAGCATTGTCAGTATATAATTTCCTCACATTTGATTTTTTTTTCTACTGTGTTAGATTAATTATTCAAACAAAAAGCAGACAAGGAAATTTTCCTTCTAATTAGTCTTGTTAGACTAGTACTTTTGTATATTTTTTGCTTCGATAATATTTTCATTTTGAAGAGTTCTGATTAACCTATGTGTTGCAGGTATGGTTTTCCTCAGTAACGTCCATGCTTAAATATATCCTGCCTTTTTTGTCAATCATGCTCAACAGATACCAATTGCTGAAGTGGCAACTCATTGCTATATTATTAATTAGATGTAAAACCACGAAATAATTTTCTTTTATTTACAAAATAAATTCTACTTTTCAACATAATCACTTATTCATACTGTAATGTATGCAACAATGATTTCTTCTATATTGACACACCGGAAAACGATTTTTAAAAATATCTTTGTGAACAAACGAAATAATATTTTAACCTTTTGGAATGAATATATTAGTTAAAACATCCATGATTTCTTTTTGGCTTGGAATATAAATCAACAAAACTTAACAACATCATATATTTATACTTTCTAGTTGATCTATAAACAATGTTCAATTTCACACTATGATTATCAAAAAACTGAATCCTTTTTTTTAAAAATTATATCAACTCGAAATTCCAATAATTCATCTCTGACGAAGGAACTATCCGAACTAATATTTACCGTTTAAACTCATATTGGATTTACAAGAAGAACTATATAGAAAAATTCTCAAAGAGTTCGTACTCATGGGTCTCTGGAGAGGAATTACGACCGTTTTACTAAATTTAGATATTGACTGAAAAATCAAATAGTGAAATTTTGCTTTGTGACTTTGGGAATATCCTAAAATTTTTAGCTGAAAACGATGCCTCTTTGTTATGATAAACGATCGTTTTTTTGGAAAACTCAATATTTCAATAAAGGAATATTCTTTTCGATTGAAACTTTCAGAATATTTCCAGAGTCATTAGACAAAATTTCAGATCGAAAATTTAGTAAAAGAATCATAACTTGATCCGAGAGGCCAATGGGTACGAATCCTTGGAGAAATTTTTTTGTCTTCCTTATGCACTAAAATAGATTCCTTTAATACTTAATATATATGGATTCTAATGAAAGTCTCTATATGAATTGTAAACACTTAATAAGATCATTTAAAAGAGAAATAATTTATTTTTGTTTTTTTCTTACTCATATCGATTTTGTTCGTATGTTTTAATAATAGTTTGATATTGTATAGGTGTTATTAAATCAAATCCATTAAATTTTGCCCATTCAACAGGAAAAACATCTAATGAATTAATTGGTAAAACATGATAAAATAATTTATCATCATTAAATAAACTTGTATCATCAATTCTTAACCACATAAGATGATCAGCAATATGAATAAGTGTTACAGAAAAAACATAATCTTTATTATTTAATGTATATATCATTTCCATTTTCATTCCTGGTTCAACACGATTATTTCCAGCAGCATTTAATGTTATTAAATTAAAACATCTTTCAAGTACTAAATTTTCAATACCATTTTTTTCTGTATATAAATTTTCAATACCATTTTTTTCTGTATATAAATTCCAATAATCTTTTGTTTGTCGAATATTTTCACCATTTATTAATGCAAGTTTATGTTCAGCAGCCCAATGTGCTGGTAATATATGTGGATGTGTTGAATATCCAATAAATGATAATTCATTAGTATTATTATCATCATCATTATCAATAATAATATCAAAATAATAATCATTATGTATATGACCAATTCTTCCAATATGAATATTTTGTTTATTTGATTCAAATACTTCTAATTTCATTCCTTCAGTAAAACGATGTTTAATTATTTCTTCTTGTTCTTTAAATAAATTTGATGCTAGAAATTGTTTTTTTGATTGACTTAAACATATATCAATTAATTTTTCTTTATCTATTGTTATTAATTTTAAACATGTTGGAATATCATAAAAATAAACTGAAGAATTATTTGATTGCCAACCAATAAAATGAACACGACGATCAAGACAAAATATATGAATATCTAATGAAGAATCTTCTTCTTCATCCTCAGTTGTATTAGTAATATATCGAAGATGTAATCGTCCACTATGATTATTAATTATTCGAACAAACCATAAAGTCCATGGACGATTTATATCTTGTAATTCAAGTAACATATCTTTTTTTAATTGTTCTGAAGGATTTAAACCAATTTCCTAAAATTATAAATAATTATCAGAAATATTATTTCATTTGCATCATATTAACGAAAAAAAGAAAACAATCGTATTTATTGTTCGATCCGAAAAAGAATTTTTGATTTATAACCAAACATACGAAAATGTCGAAAAGATTTTGATCAGTGTTTTTCCCTTCTAGAAGGACGATTTAAAACTAGACGAACACCTATATTTGTGAATATAAATACACACTACCAACTTCGGAAGGGCGTGTTACTCTCTCACGCTGTATAAAATGTTATTTGACTACTTGAATAAAATACTTAAATTCATGTTTAATCAACTAAGAAACTTAAGTATTATATTTTATTATCAATTAACTTATTCGAAAAGTTTCATCTATATAATCTATCTTATAGAATTCATTTTATAAATTAGTACACTTATTCAATCAAATATACAAACTGTCTCAACAGTCCATCGGGAAAAGCTAATGTAAATATTTCTTATACAATCCAAAGAATTAAATCTGTGCATGTAAACATTAGAATAAAAATAGTTTTATTCATGATCATATTTGAATTATCTCTACAGTTGTGCGAAACGAAAACTATAAGTCAAGTTCGGCAACAAAATGAATCACAATCAAATGTTTCAAGATTTGTTCCATATCATGAACAACAAGGTGCTGAATAATGATTGAATACTTTTCATTAGAATCATACAAGATATAATTTATTCGTGGAATAGATCAAGTCTTTGCAACAACTCGAACACTTGGTTGTACTTCATTTTTCATTGTATCAGTTTCACAAAAAAAACATTCAAATGTAACTTATAGTTTTCGTTTCGCAACTATAGCAGAGATTCAACCGTTTGAATTCTATACAAAATATTTACATTAAAACTTTCTCCCGATGAACTTTTGATTTCTTTTTTTTTTTTTACTTTATCAAATAAATAAGTAGATGGTGTTTGATTAATATTTGTTGTATCTCCTTTAATCATATTTAATTGTTTTTCATTTCCATTTAATATTGTATGATTATTATGTAATGTTGTTGTTTGTTGAATAGCTCGTTTAGTAACAATTGGTGGTGGTAACATTTATTTACTATTTTCTCTACACCAACCAATTGGATGACAACGTTGTCCATAAATATATGCCCAAAAATTGTTTGATGTATCATCATCAGGTAAACCAACATAATGTAAAAGAATTAAACTATGTGATACTAATTATATTTGTGTTAACCAATATAAATCATGTTGTATATCATAACAATATTCAAGTTGCATATCATAACAATATTCAAGTTGCATATTTATTTCAAAACCGGATTCAATTGATACTAAATAATGATCAAAAAATTCATCGGAAACAGATCGTTCACCAATATATGATAAATATTTTGACCAAAGAAAATTTGTTGAATTTAATCGGGAAATATTTAAACAAGGTTGAAGTTCATGAATGATTATTATTCGACTAGATGATGATGAACTAAAATTAGATTTTTGAGAAGTAAAAAATTTTAAAAAAAGGAAACTTTTTGTTTACTTAGTTTTTTTTTGTTGAATAATAAAGATCAAGTTTTGATTGATTTCTATTTGAACTATCTGACAATGAATCTTCTTGTATTGAATGATGTTTTAATTGATCAGTTAATGATTGTTCAATATTTAATTTATTATCATTATTAATAATTAATATTCGATTTAAATCATCATCAATTGAATCTG